CCCCAGACATGGAGGGGTTCGGTACACAGAGCTCCAGCACAGCCTCCCCAAAATGTGAGCCTGCACCCACATGTGCACCAGCACCCAGAGCATGAACACATGTGTGTGTGTATCTATATATATCTGTATTTCTGTATATCTGTATTTCTGTATATCTGTATATCTATCTCTATTTATCTATCTCTATATTTCAATATCTGTATCTATCTATATATTTCTATATCTACATATCTGTGTAGCTATGTCTGTCTCTATATATCCCCACTCCTAAAAAAATAGCGCACATATGTGATACATGTATACACACAATATCAATACCTCCCCCCCATACATACACAGTGGCTACCTGTACATATATAGACACACAGGGAATATTTGTATAAAAATATATATATATATATATGTACACAAAGAGGGCTAGAACAGATGTATACACCCCTACACCCCTAAAACAGTGGCATATGTGTGTGCAAGACAGATGTACACACACACACAAAATCAACATGTATCCACAACTATACATACACAGCAACTACCTATATATATACATATATACATCTATATACACACAGAATACAAAATATACACACACACAGAATATACACACACACACACACATACACAGAGGGCCAGCACTCACCTATACATAACCCCAACCCTAAAACTGTAGCACATATGTGATACAGGCATGTACACACACGCACACACACACGTACCCTGAGCTATAGATACACAACAACCACCTGTATATATACACATATATACACAGAGAACACTTGTGGGTATATATATGTACACACACATATATATACGTACATATACACATATACATATGTACACACACACATATACATACATATACACATATATGTATATGTATACATACATACACACACATGTGTATATATATATATATATATATATGTACACTCACAGAGCCAGCACACACATATGGCACATCCCAACCCTTACAGGAGTAACATGTATGCAAACATGCATGTGCACCCAAACATGTTTACAGCTAATAACATGCAGAAACTACCTGCACATACACACACATATGCACCTATAGACATCTATATACAGGCACAGACACAGATAGAAAGTACCTCTGTTTGTGTGTGCATGCACACCTGAAATAATAAATAAACAATAAATACAACTTAAATATAAATAAATAATATAAAATACATATTAAATAATAAAATTATACACAATAAAAATAATATAACTTCTATTGTTATATTAAAATATTATTAAATAAAATTATAAAATATAAACAATACATTAAAAACTTGTGATAATAAATAAAATTATGTGTCTATTGATAGTGTGTACACACACACACACAGAGTATTAGCACAGGCACAGGTGTGTGCACGTGTGAAGACACCAGCACGTGTGTAACACACACATTATTGCCAGTACGTCTGCACACATACATAGGTACAAGCACATATGTATATGTATAAAAATATGTATGTATATATGTATATACATGTATATATGCACATCTACATGCCCACTACCCTGCTGTGCACAGACACAGACACATGCACACACACAGATGGACAGACACCTGTGCACACACAGAGTAGACCCGTGTATGTGCACACACAGAGATACATGTACATGCACACACACACGTATGTACACACACGTATGGACACAGAGAGACATGTATGTACACACACACACACACAAACACAGCGGTATCAGCCCCGGTGCATCTCCACACCCACGCAGAGCTGACAGCACATATCCATACATGCATATGGCCAGGTGTGCCAGCACACGTACACACACACACACACACACACACACGCACACATATCCAAATTGCCCTCCGTGGGCACATGGACACACACACACACCCCTCCCCAGCAGCCACAAACACAGGTGTGCACATAATTCTGGGCAGCCCTTGGAGCACTATATTCCCCCACATAGCATACACATATATACATACAAACACATAAAACATACGTGTATGCATATAAACACACATAAATACATATGTCCAAGTACAAACCCAGCAGCAGTCACCTGTCCACATGCACACGCATGTTATTGGCACATGTGTATCTACACACACCAGCCTTCATATTCCCACACTTCCAGCTTGGGAATCCTTATGCACACACACACACACACACACAAACACACCAGTGTACAGGTGTGTATGCACACACAGAGCCCTGCACAACATGTAACACACACACACACACGTATGTGCCCACACACTCCCAGCAGCCCCATGCTCACACCTCCCAGCCCCCCCAAACCCCACGTTACCATCAGCCAGGTGTCGAGGGAACACGCCAAAATTTGGGGGGGAGCGAACACGCCAAAATTAGGGGGCAACACGCCAGAATTCTGGGGGTATCCCTTGGGAAGTGCTGCCCCAGGGATGAGGCGGCCGAGTGGCAGCGCTGCCGCTGCCGCCGCCTTTTTATAGGGCTCGGCAGGTGATGTGCACACACCTGGAAACTCCAGCTCCAGGTTCCTTCCTCCTCCCCGCGGGCCGGTGCACTTCCTTCTCTACTCCACGTGTGCCAGCCTGGAACACAGCCTGACACCTCCAGGATTTCAGGAGGGAGGATGGGGAAGGGTGTCCAGAGGCTTGGCTGCCCCGATGACACGGTGATGGGCATCCCCCAGGCCATGCCCTTGCATCACCCAAGCAGTGATATCACCGGGGCTGCTGGAGCAGAAATCCCAAGTTGGGCAACCCTGGAAAGGGCTGAAGGGCAGCGATTACCCCCTGCTCTTTGCTCCAGGATGTCCCAGTGGCCTCTAACAGCACCAGTGGGATACTGGTTTCATGGTGTAAAGAGCAGGGCTGGAGGATGGGAAATTCCAGAGCACTGGGAAGTCAGGGACCCCAAATATTGTTCCTTAAATCAGAGGGATTTATCAGAGGGACCTTCAGATGATCCCATCCGTGGCACTGCCTGCAGAGACTCTCACTTACCACCACCAGTGGGATACTGGTTTCATACTGGGTGCAAGAAGCAGGGCTGGAGGATGGAAAATTCCAGGGGATTAGGAGTTCAGGAACCCTAAACATCACCCCTAAATGAGGGAGGTTTATCAGAGGCACCCCCAGATGATGTCCCCTCACTAACATGTAATACCAGTGTGATACTGCTTTCATACCAGGAGCCAGAAGCAGGGCTGGAGCCTGGGACAGGGACCCTAGAGATTGTTCCCTAATTGAAGGGGGTTTATATGGGACACCCCCAGGTGATATCAGACATTGGGCCCCCCACTAACACCAGCAGTGGATACTGGTTTCATACTGGGTGCACGGAGCAGGGCTGGAGGGGAAAGGGACCCCAAACACTGGGGGTTCAGGGACCCCAAACATCAACCTCTAAATAAGGGGGGTTTGTCAGAGGGACCCCCAGATGATGACCCCCACTACCACTGGGATACTGGTTTTACACTGGGAGCAAGGAGCAAGATTGAAGGTAGTGAAATTCCAGGGTATTGGGGGTTCAGGGACCCTAAACATCACTCCTAAATGAAGCAGCTTTATAAGAGGCACCCCCCAGACAATGCCAGCCAGGGCACGAGCTGCAGAGCCACCCACTAACACACCACTGGGATACTGGTTTCATACTGGCTGCTCCCTCAGGAGACAGGGTAGCTCTTCCAGCTCCACGGAGCAGCAGAGTTGGAAAAATAAACTACAAGTCCCCTCAAACTGAGGGGTACAGACTCCCAAGGCAGGGGAGAGGGTGGAGATGGGATGCAGAGAAGAGCAGGAAAAGGAAAAACTGGTTATCAAAATACTTTATTTCAGGGAGATCCCTAAAAAAAAAAAAAAAAAAAAAAAAAAAAAAAGGGAGAAAAAAATCAAAGGAAGAAGGACCCTCCTGTTAGACAGACATGCCCACAACACCTGCAGGGCTCCTGGGAAATCAACTGAACCAATCCGCTGCTCCAAAGAAAGGACAGGTCATTCCCGAGGGGATTGAGGCAAGAATATATATATATTTGTTCCTGGGGGAGGAGGGGGTGTTGCCAGCAGTTCACAGCAGTTTTCGGCTCTCTCGGCACACAGGAACTAGAACTGCATTGCTGAAGACACTCAACACACAGCAGGGCTAACTAGGAGAATACAACTCGAGGCTAGCAAAGAGGGGAGGGGAGAGAGAAGTGGGAGCATCCCACGGGGCTGGAGTCCTCTGTGCAGAATTTACACGGCTCCGGAGCCACTGGCACTCATGGAGCCGGAGCGAGTCGTCGCGGGAGTCTCGGCTGACAGAACTTCCTTAATTTTTTTGTTTTGTGTGGGTTTTTTAAAAAGAATCGCAGCCAAAATGAAGACAGAACTGCAAAATCCCAAAGTGGCCACTTTTTCCACTATTTATAAAAACATCAACAGTCACTACAGGGCATGGCCCACTATACTTTTCCCGGGATTTTGGCCCGCTTGCGAGCGATGGCGTCTTCCACCGCCTTGAGCTGCTTCAGGAGCTCCTCCCGCCGTGACAGGGTGCTGGACTTGCCCCCCTTGACGGCTGCAGGACCCGGGTCGGATGCCTTGCCTGGGACACTTGTGACTTTGCTGGAGCTCTTGGATTGAGGGGAGAGCTGGCGTTTCCTGGGAGAGAGAGAAAGGAGAGGTAGGTGAGAGGCACTGGAAAAACCTCAAAGACATCTGCCCTGGTGGGATCATTAAGGATGGAAAAGACATCATCAAGTCCAAGTTTCAACTGGATCCCACCATGCCCACTAAACCATATGGAATCATGGAATGGCTTGGGTGGGAAGGGATCTAAAATTTCATCCAGTCCCACCCCCTGCCATGGGTAAGGACACCTTCCACTACACCAGGTTCCTCCAAGCCCTGTCCAACTTGGCCTCGGACACTTCCAGGGATGGGGCAGTTCCAGCTTCTCTGGGCAACCTATGCCAGGGCCTCCCCACCCTCACAGAGAAGAGTTTCTCCCTAATTTCTGATCTAAACTAATCTATCAGGAAGTGTCACACCTAACACATCACTCCAAGAGCTGGTGGGAGAAAACGAGAGGCCTTGGGTTAAAAACTAGCTGAAATAGTAAAAAAATCAGCTGTTCCAGGGAGATTCCCAGAATAAACTCGGCACCATGGGCTGTGCTATCTCTTGGGTGCAGTGAGCAGCTCAAGGGAGTGGCAGAGAGACAAAGAGGGGTGAGCAGCCCTGGAGCAGCCCCACAATCCCAAATCCTGACAGCCCCTTCCCTGTGATGCCAGTGGGCCTTGTGGTGCCCTGGAGAAACCAAGTATGTCTGTAACCCCCTCCTATCCCCCAGATTGGCATAGGGCACATCAAACCCACCATGTGCCACTGCCAACTCAGAGAGCAGCAGGATTAGAGGGTCAGGAATCATTGATGTGATACCAGTGCTGGGCTGGAATGGCTGAGGTTCCCGTCACTGCTGGAAAACAGGACCTGAGGGCCTGAGGCAGGACAGGGCTGTGGCAGCAGGGTGAGGTTTTGGTTTGGAAAGACTCTGAGACATGGAAATTGAGGCTTGTTCGTGGCCCAAGATGGGAGAAGGGAAGGGAAGGGATGGCACAAGTGCGGCCAGCCAAGGAACACTGGGATGCGTTTGCTTCCAGAGATCCTTGGAGAGATGACACTGGAGAAATGCAAA